ATTAGTTTCAGGTTCCTCCACCTACACTGAGCTCAAACATGAGTCTTTACTTTCTTCAGGGTATAATAAACTTTCACTTCTAAGTGTATAATAAAAGAAGCTCCATTTTTTCATGTAATTCAAAGTCAGTCCTTGCAAGAATAAACTTGATTTTTTTTTTGTCCATCATATGTTTCAAGTATAAAATTATAGAATGGTATATACTTTTTATTTAAAAGAACATTATAATTACATTGTTAAGTAGATGTCTGTGATGGCAAGAAACTTTTTCCTCAAGGCAAAATACGGTTTTTAGTGATTGAACTTATCTCTAACAAGCTGCAAACCATTCTATCATTTTTGTTGTACTGAATGTTAGGAAGAAAATTTACAGTAGTTAGTACAGAAGAAAACTAAAACCCCACACCAAAACTTATACACAGTGTTCATAACTTTGTGTGCTAATGTAACTCAGCCTATAGTTTGAAGCAGAAACAAACCACACCATGCTAATGGAAACAACCTCTGCAATAATATAAACCAGCTATGTGTAGAACTATTAAAGTACTTCAACAAAGAATAAAGTAAAATGTGCATATTCAGTCTTTTACCCCATGTTGTTTCCTCTGCTCTTCCCCTGCAACTCAGGGAGCTGAACTTGTCTGCAGATCTACATCAGTCTATGAGTGTGTGAATAAACAGGCACTGCCTTTACAGCCCTTACAGCTGTGCATGTGTTCCTAAACCGGTAACAAGTTCACAAACTAGACAGGGACTGTGTTTACCTGAGAATAAATACATTTGATGAGCTGACAGCACATTTTGCTGTCGCTTATGATCCTGCTCTATATACACAGGCACAATGGCTGTATAGTACATTCAGTATCTGGTGATTAGATGCTAAAAGGGAATACATTTACAAGCAAGGCACTGGTGGGAGGGACAACTTGTCTTCACAGTGGATCTCTTTTTCTGGGAGAGGTTCAGTGTCAACAGTTGTTTAGGAGAGTAAAGCTGAGCTGCCATCAGTTTCACAAGCATTGTAGTACCGGAGATACTTGGCCAGATGCAGAGAAAAATTCTTAAGGAATGTGTTATTTTTGGTATGCAGATGGTGGCTGTTGCTTTGATTTTAGTGAGTGTCAACAGGCTTATTTGGAGGATGGTTTGATATTGCCGTTGTTTTCATGCTGCTTCCTTTTCTGGGCTGGCTTCCACTTCCACCTCTTCAAACTCCTCAACATCTGCAGTGGCATCTTGGTACTGTTGGTACTCGGACACGAGGTCATGGGTGTTACCTTCTGCTTCAGAGAACTCCATCTCATCCATACCTTCCCCAGTATACCAGTGGAGAAAGGCTTTTCTTCTGAACATGGCTGAGAACTGTTCGGAAACCCTGATGAAGAGCTCCTGAATGGCTGTGTTATTGCCAATAAAGGTAGCTGCCATCTTCAGGCCTCGCGGTGGGATGTCACACACAGCCACCTTGACATTGTTAGGGATCCACTCCACGAAATAGGAGCTGTTCTTGGTCTGGACAGACAGCAACTGCTCATCCACTTCTCTGGTAGACATTCTGCCTCGGAAGATGCAGGCGACGGTGAGGTAACGCCCGCGCCGAGGGTCACAGGCTGCCATCATGTTGCGTGCGTCGAACATCTGTTGAGTTAGCTCTGGCACTGTGAGGGCTCTGTACATCTGGCTGCCCCGAGCTGTCAGTGGAGCAAAGCCTGGCATGAAGAAGTGCAGGCGAGGAAAGGGCACCATGTTGACAGCCAACTTGCGCAGATCCGCGTTGAGCTGCCCAGGAAAGCGGAGGGAGGTGGTGACGCCACTCATGGTTAGGGACACCAAGTGGTTGAGGTCACCATAGGTGGGATTGGTGAGCTTTAAAGTTCTAAAACATATATCGTAGAGAGCTTCGTTGTCAATGCAGAAGGTTTCATCCGTGTTCTCTATGAGCTGATGGATGGAGAGGATGGCGTTGTACGGCTCTACGACCGTGTCCGATACCTTGGGGGAAGGCACAACGCTGAAGGTGTTCATAATCCTGTCGGGATATTCCTCTCTGATTTTGTTGATGAGGAGTGTGCCCATACCTGAGCCTGTGCCACCACCGAGCGAATGGATGAGCTGGAATCCCTGCAGGCAGTCACAGCTCTCACACTCGTTCCTGACCACATCCATGACATTTTCAATCAGTTCAGCACCTTCTGTGTAATGGCCCTTGGCCCAGTTGTTTCCAGCCCCTGAATTACCTGTAAACAGAAGTACAGAAAGGTCAGTCACAGAGTTAACAGGATAATTTTTAAAGGCCACAATGATAGGAGTTCACAGGCCATTTGGGGACAGTTGACTCCAGCTGGTTTGCTGGCAGCATGCTGTACATACCATGAATGAAGTTGTCAGGTCGAAAGAGTGGACCTATTTTGCTAGACCGTACACTGTCCATCGTCCCAGGCTCCAGGTCCACCAGGATGGAACGGGGCACATATTTATGGGCTAGAACAAAGCAAAATGAATGCAAATAATTACTGTAAGAGGCCAAAGAGACCTGAAAAATCCAATTCGCCTATAGTGGTTTAGGTTTTCGGTTGGGGTTTTTGATAATTACTTATTTTAACCTTCATGTTCGCTCTGCAGATTGCTCTGCCAACACCTCACAGTGCTGAGCACTTACAGTAAGCCTCATTGAAGTACACGTTAATTCGCTCCAGCTGCAGTGGTGAATCCCCACGGTAGTTTCCAGCGATGTCAATCCCATGTTCCTCACCAAGCACCTCCCAGAACTGGACAAAGAAAAGAGGTTCGACACAGATTTATTTTCAGCACGTGTTCAGCACCAGCTCTGCTGCATTTATGCCTGACAGGAACTTGTCTTGCCATTTACTTGTTAGATCAGAGCAGGATCCTCCTCTCCCCTCCCCAAATAAGTCCATGGGAAAAGTTTGTAGGCCATTTATGCTGCTTAGCTATCACCCATGCACTAATAGGTGGAGAACCTCAACTGGTTCCCTTTAGAGTAAAAGAAAAATTGATACTAGTTTAAATAACACGGTACTAGTTGGTATGAGCTTGACAAAAAGGTCAGGAGGAGGTGGATTAGGGAGGGTTGCCTTGAGTCCTGTCACACACAAGTGGGTCTGTGACACAGGCAAATTTGTACATTAGCAATGCTTTCCACGAAGAGCTGCTGGTCCTGAACATCCTATCTTGTCACTCATATGGATGTGTCGTCCTGGGACTCTTATCTAGGCAGCAGCCACAGCAGTGTTCATGTAGACACACCCACCCACTGTAATGACCAGGCTGTTTCAATATTAAAGGTCTCCTGGGTTAGCATCCAGTCTCATTTTGAGTGTACAAACACACCATTGCCAACATGTCCATGGTGTGTGTGCTTTTCTGCAGGTCTTATGAGACATAAGCACTTTGAAGTTCAAAGCCAACAGAAAAAAATACAACCTTCCGTTGTCACACTGGCTGCATTCAAACTGCCTGGGTCTAACATGACATTCCCTGCCCATCTACAGCTTCATGTTCCATTGAAAGAAGTCAAGGTGAGATTTGTGGGAGCAAGAAATGGAGGGAGAACACAATGGAGCAATCCCTCTGCTATCATGTGTCTTAAAAGACCTCCATGCCCCAAATAGACACAGACACTTTGTTCTGACAACTTCCTACTCATCAATTAAAATAAAAGAGAAGATGGACATCACACAGCAGAAAGCAACGGTGTTTTTTTCTCCTAGCATAGAAAGTCAGCAATAGAGACAACTCCAAGTAAGATCATGCCAGTGTTTGAGCTACACAAAAATACTCCCAGTGACCTGTTGCAGACCAGTTAGGCACTTTGTATCACTCAGAAAAATCCACCTGGTCACTGAGAGCACAGGTCAGCCAGTGGGTTCATACAACCAACCCAAACCATTCTATGATTCTATGGTATTAATGAATATAATGTGGCAGAGTTAGTGCTGCATGGCTGAACTGAAGTCCTGGCATCACAGCTTTGCAGCTCTGGAATTACTGGCTCCGGCACTTGTCCCAGCATTTTGCAGACTAGATCAGTGCCCCTGGGAAGATGAGTCGCAGCAGGAAGCCTCTGGAGCACTTATTATCACTGTGCCATAGTTATTGCAGCTGAACATTAGCCTTTACAGGAGGAGCAAGTCCATCTTTTCACTTTCACTCCACAATACACATATTGCCAGCTAACATGCCATCCTACCATTGAGTTAACAAAATAATTGTTCCCCCCTCAAAGTTCCCATCCATTGATGATGTTTGATCTGCTACCACTGATCCCCTACTAATGACCAAAGATGAAAAGAGACCTTACCTTGGCTCCAATTTGGTTCCCACACTGCCCAATCTGAAGATGCACAATTTCACGCATTTTGTGTAGCTCAGATCCGTTGGTGGCTACAACCTCTCACAGGTTCTCCAGTTGCAGTCCCCAGAACAAGCCCTCCTGCTGCTGCTCTATCAGCTACACCCAGTGCAGCCCTCCCCAAGCGGCCTCTTTATACCAGTGGGACTGTCACTCAGCCAGCAAGGGGAGTAACCAGCTCCTCAGGCTGCTCAGCAAGGCATTTCACGAGGAGGCAAAGTGCCTGTTTACTGCCTGGGTACAGGGTACAAGAGCACAGGTGCATTACTGGGTGGCTTGGGAAGGAACATTGTCACATGCACCTCCTCACCATTAATTCCAGTTCTCCATACGATGCATATTCTATTTGTGTTTCATCATTTTTATTATACATACTATATATACAAATATATGTGCATATATGGAGAGTATAGGCAAAAATGAGTAGGTTAAGCACATGTGCTTCCATCACCTAATTTAAATGTTAACCTCATATGAGTCATACAGGACAACAGCCACGATAAAAACAGTAACACTTGTGAGCAGTAGCCTCCTATAGCCACAACATTCAGTGCATTGCCAGGCAAACTTCATTAATAAGCATCATTCCCTGTGTCTGACTGCAGGAAGGAGGGGACAGGAGCAGTAACAAAAACACTTGGCAACACATAAATATCACACTGCACTCTCAGGGATGTATGTTCCTTAAACAGCTACAATAATCCATCATTTTAAGTCAAAATCTGAATTAACTTGCACAGATACTCTCTCTCTCCCTTTTCCTCTCTTCCTTTCCTGCCATTAAGAATTACAGCATTTCTTACATTTCTTATTTTCTCATATCTGAGATTAAGTACTTCAGAACTTGCCAGGAAAATGCTAGAGGTGAAAATCTAGTTCCACTGAAGGTAACTAACATTCACTGTGTGAAACATTTCGCTGTGTTAAAGGAAACTATGAGAGGTGGAGCAAAACACAGCAGAGTCCTGTTGGCTGCTGATAACCAGGACTAGTATCACTGAGCAGCAGAAACCTGGAATGGACTGTCTTCTGCAAGCTCAGAGCAGCTTCATTACATGTCAGATGACTGTCAGTGCTTTGCAAGTCCTCCTTTTAAGGATAGGAATTAGAACTATAATTAGGAAAGTACCTTAAATTATTTTGTATAAAGTGATGACAGTGGAAGGACATTGAAAGTAACTACTTTACCACTTTCTGGGTGGCTAGAGATAAGAAATCTCTGAGCTTCCATATTGTTCCAATAGAAAAATCAGCTTATTCCAGACTTCCCCCCACCCTTGATGACTTCCACTTCTCCCATCAGCCAAAGGAGGGACAGACAACTGCTCCTAAAAAGTTGAGCACCAGAAGTTCATTGCAAAGGAGCAGCAAGGAAACATTCTGTCATCCTCTGCTGTGCTGTGAGTGTCCTCAGTAGGGAGTAATAAAATACTTCAAATTCAGGTAGATTAATTTAGTTTCCTTAAGACACAATAGTTTCATCATTTTCCAAAAGTTAAATATTCTCTAAGCCATTTAGTTTACTCATCAAGACAAGCAAACCGTTCTGTTCCATCACCACATTGTCCGTATTTTCCACAATGGCAGTGGATATCTTCTACAGTTTCCTGAGATTAAATGCTAGAAAGGTTATTTGGACATTTACTTTGAAAGAAAATATCCATGCACATTTCAGGTTTTTTTTCTCCAAAGATCCTCTGCTAAACGTAGTAGTGCAGTTCTGAGCCTGAAATATCATTTTATCCATGCACATTTCAATTTTTTTTTCTCCAAAGATCCTTAGCTAAACGTAGTAGTGCAGTTCTGAGCCGTATATCCCATTGTTGCACTCTGGTGGGAGCTGCACTGACACCATGTGTCAGAGACCTGCTGACACTAAATAAATACTGCTTTAAATATACAATAGGCACAGCTCATGAGAGGCTGAAGATGCTAAATTTTATCCATGCACATTTCAATTTTTTTTTCTCCAAAGATCCTTAGCTAAACGTAGTAGTGCAGTTCTGAGCCGTATATCCCATTGTTGCACTCTGGTGGGAGCTGCACTGACACCATGTGTCAGAGACCTGCTGACACTAAATAAATACTGCTTTAAATATACAATAGGCACAGCTCATGAGAGGCTGAAGATGCTAATTCAGTGTCAACAAATTTGGCAAAATAATTTCAGCAATAAATATACTCAGCGCACGTCACAAGGAAACAAAGAAAAGGGAAGGGAAAGAAATATGCAACATTTAATATGGGGTTCTCTCTTGCTAAAATTAGTTCCCAGAATCATGTGCCTCCTCTGAAGCACTTCCTTAGAGTCTTACAAATCATGGCACATGACACAAAGTACCTGAGATGCTTTGTGAAGCAGATATGAGTTTGGGCCTCTTTTCCCTCTCCTCCCCAACCACATTTCTGTGAACCTCCAAGCCTGGCTTCATCCCAAAGCTGCAACACGAGGAGCCTGTTTCCCTGTAGAGTTTGTTGTCACTCCTGAGCCCTGAGAAACCTCAAGCCTGTTAACTGCCCAAGGACACTTCCCAGCCACAGCCATCACACATGTGCTGCAGCAGATTAGCAGTGAGAGCGTCAGCAGGGCAGGAGGAGGTGGTGGTGGCTCTGAGGGACTTTTGGCTCTGTGGAGATAGCAGCAGCCTGGCACTGGGCACAGCTATTGCAGTGGGTATTATCAGGCTCCCACTGCTCCCATTGCCTTCAGAGCAGACCCTAGATACCAGAGCCCTGGCAATGAGCTTCAGCTGAGACCACAAACAAGCCAGGTTTTTGTGATTACCAGGCTTTTGTGGTGTTGTTTCTGCTTTTCTTGGTTTTTTGGGGTTTTTTTTCAATTCTACCCACTAGCAACAAATACACATTCTGGGGTATATGGTTTGCTTGGGAGGAAGTAACTTGGCAACAAATACACATTCTGGGGTATATTTTTGTTAAATATGGTTTGCTTGGGAGGAAGTAACTTTTTCAGAGTAGCGGAGAAGATTGTTGAGAAGAAAGTCTGTGCAGTTTGAGATAAGCCTGGCTACAGGCCACCAAATAACTTTAGAGAGATCTGTGAATGGCAACCAAACAAGCTGATGCAAGTCTCGACTAACCTGGGCTAGCTGCATCATCCTTAGCAATGCTACCAAAAAATGTTGCATTCACCAGGCAGTAAAGGTCACCTACGTCACATTTTTATTTCAGTCAGTAAGAAAACCTATTTAATTACTTCCTTCCTCTTGCAGGTGGTCTAAGGAAATAAGGCAGGGCTGCCCACTGCAAGTTGTCATCAGTGTAATGAGCCTGTGTGATTGAACAAACAGGTTTTTGGTACAACCAGAGTGGATGACCAAGCAGTTTGTTACCTTCCCAATGCAGAGCTATGACTTGGCAAAAACCTGGGGCATGTGAATGCACCCACTGAGCAGTGTCCTTACCTGGGTCCTACTGCCACAACTGCAAACTGCTGAGTTTGGATCATTTGGTGAGTTTCCCAGCAGTCAGGCTCTGTTCTTGCTCGTTCTTGCTCAGCTGTTCCTTTTGGTATGCTGGTTCTTGGTGACTCAGTTTCTCTGTACATTGTGTGGAGCTGATAAACCTCACGCCTTTTACAAACAGTGCTGAGAGCTAAGGGGAAAAAAAAAGCTACAAGGGGAGAACTGTCTGTGGTTTACTAAACCTATTTACCAAGCATGAAAGCTCTAGTATGGGAAATCAGCTGATAATCCAATCACACAGCCACTGGGACCTTTCTGCAGGAAAATTAGGAAACTCTTTACTATTGACTAAATCTTATAGCAGATAATAAAGATCTTTAGGTGTTCTGAACCCTAAGAACAGCCTAAGAAATGGTCACAGGCCTGTGTTCTTTTGTAACTTGCAGAATAAAAGGGCTTGAGAAATTCAGATCTTATGACTAACAAAAACCACAATCAACCAACAAAAAACCCCAACCCCACTCTGCTCTCTGCGGTGTCACAGCCACTGGGCACAGCCTTACACAGTGCTGAGGTGTTAGGCCAAAGGTAAAGAAACCTGTAACCCAGTCACACAGTGTATGTCCCAGACACAAGTCCTCTTGTGATCAAATTGCTTCATTTTTGAGCACGCGAGCTGCCCTGGGGGCTGGGAACACGAGACCTCAGGGCTGTTCCTCATCCCCAACAGATCAATCAGACTCCCTGCAGAAGGGCTCAGCACACTGAGCATCCCCAGAGCAGCTACCCCGGGCACAGAGCACACACAGACCGAGGACCCGACGGGGGCCCGAGGTCCCTGTGGCTCCTGCTCATCGCAGGCGAGCGCTGCCTGCTCTGACCCTGTCCCTGTCTTTGTCCCTGTCCTTATTCTGCTTCTTTCTGGTCCCTGTCCTTGTTCTGGTCCTTGTTCCTGTCCCTGTCCTTGTTCTGGTCCTTGTTCCTGTCCCTGTCCTTGTTCTGGTTTTGGTCCCGGTTTCTGTCCTTGTTCTGGTTCTGCTTCTGGTCCCGGTTCCTGACCTTGTTCTGGTCCCTGTCCTTGTTCTGGTCCCTGTCCCTGTTCTGGTCCTTGTTCCTGTCCCTGTCCTTGTTCTGGTCCTTGTTCCTGTCCCTGTCCTTGTTCTGGTCCTTGTTCCTGTCCCTGTCCTTGTTCTGGTCCTTGTTCCTGTCCCTGTCCTTGTTCTGGTTCTGGTCCTTGTCCTTGTTCTGGTTTTGGTCCCGGTTCCTGTCCTTGTTCTGGTCCCTGTCCCTGTTCTGGTCCCTGTTCTGGTCCCGGTTCCTGTCCTTGTTCTGGTCCCTGTTCCTGTCCCTGTCCTGATTCTGGTTCTGGTCCCTGTTCTGGTCCCGGTCCCTGTCCTTGTTCTGGTCCCTGTTCCTGTCCTGATTCTGGTTCTGGTCCCGGTTCCTGGTCCCTCTCAGTCCCGTCCCTGCCCCGCTCCCTCCGGCTCCGCCTCACCGCTCCCTCCGGCACCTCCCGCCGCCCTTA